AATTGCTGTAACCTTCTTAAGCGACTAAGACTAAATAGACAGGATCGCTTAACTGATTAAGGGTAATTTACTTCAATATTTATCTCCCAAGTTTATGGACATATGTTTAATATAAACGTAAATATTGTACACCATATATGTTTAATATAGACGTAAAAGAACTATATGTTTAATTAAAATATAATAATGGTCATGTTCCACTGAACGAATCGTACACCCTATATATTTAATATAGACGTAAACATTCTACACCATATATGTTTGATATAGACATACAAGAACTATATGTTTAATAAAAATATAATAATGGTCATGGTCCACTGAACAAATCGTAAACCCTATATGTTAAGAGTTCGAGCAAGAAAATGGCTTCACAGTTTAGATATGGATAAAGAAGAAGACGGTGAAATTTTTAGAGCATTGATAAATATTACACTCTTTTGAGATTCTTCTCGGTCTGATTTTAAAAGAGTTATTATTTTAAGGAGTAAACGAAGTTTGAATGACTAATCAACGGATTGTTTGTGCAGATAGTTTTGCACAGTTATAGCTCCGTACGATTCGTTCAATGAAGAATACTTTATTGCCAACAACTAACAATTTTATGTACGGAGTTGTAACTCTACAAAACCATTTGCACAAACAATCTGTTTAATAGTCAAAGGACCTTCGTTTACATAGGGTCGCTTAAGCGATTTGCTATCGCTTAAGCGATCACGTCCGACGCAGAATAAATCTGCCAGATGCACGATCGCTTAAGCGATTTAGGGTTTCGCTTAAGTGATTCTTTGCTTTAACAAAGTGTCGCTTAAGCGATTTCAGATCGCTTAAGCGATCAAGTCCGAGGGAGAATCAATATCTAGCCATGTGAATGATCGCTTAAGCGATTATTCTCTTTTTCACTTGGTCGATTAAGCGATCATAGATCGCTTAAACGATCATGTGATGGGCAGAATCAATATCTGCCCAAGTGCATTGCTTAAACGATCCGTGATATCACTTAAGTGATTCTTCTCTTCTTCACTTGGTCGATTAAGCGATCATAGATCGCTTAAGCGTTCATGTGATGGGCAGAATCAATATCTGCCCAGGTGCACGATCGCCTAAACGATCCATGATATCGCCTAAGCGATCCTGTATGAAAAACCCTTTGTCGCTTAAGCGATTATGGGCAATACATACTTTTCCGCTAAATTTTTACAAACAAAAATTACCAACACATATTAATTCCATACTTTCTCCTCAATTTGACAACCTAATTCCAAACTAAAATCACCAACAAATATTTACGTCATGTAACAAGAATACTAAATATAAAGAATGATTTATTCAAGGTAACAATAAAATTTAAAACATCAATAATTTAAAACAATAACTCATCAACGGTTGGCCTTGGCAACTCCCTGAATTTTATCGTTCTTCGAACCTAATTTTCTGGATCTGCATGTGATTACTTCTGGCAACTGCTTCTCTTGTGGCCAGGTTGCTTGCAAATTGAGCACTTATTCATCTTCCGGGGAACCTCAGAGGCTGATGGAATACGCTTAACTCTTTTTCTCCCCTTTGCTGTCTTCTTGAATGGCGGATGGATGATAATGTCAGCCAACTCTGGTGGCACTACCCACTGCTCTTCTGGAGGCATTGGATATATTGTTTCTGAATAAGCTAGCATGTAGTGATTTGCCATATAAAGAGGGGAGCAAAGTCCCATGTAAATTCTTGAACCAAAATCGGGCTTCCTTTGGTGTTTCAGTGCTGCTAGTGCATGAGGACAAGGTAAACGTTGAATGTCAAGCACTTTACAGCTGCAAGTTTTACTAACAAGGTTAACTAGGGCATCCGGATCATAGCCGCGCACAGTGAACTCTTGAGCATTAAGAGAATAGGCAAACAGTGCATTTGACAGTTCCATATGTTCTCCCAATAATTTTTTAGCTGACGGAACAAAGGTTGTAGTAAAATTATCTGATTCCGTACGACGCTCATTGAACCACCGTGACAATTTTCTCTGGATTGCATCAAAAAGTACAACTATTGGAAACTCTCTTTCTATTAACAACTTTGAATTTATGGACTCGGCTATGTGTTTTTTGTCATTTTATATGTTGGGGTATTTTTGTCACTTTAACTAGGCTTTAAGGGTGGGAATTTGGAATAAATGCAACCAGGGGTATCAACTTGGGATTTCGCTAAATCTCGGGTGAGAATATGTCGTTTGCTCTACTATATATCTATATATATATTTTTAGTCACTTGGTGCATTATGTAATGCTTATAGAAGCCACAACAAAATCATATTTAGGCCTCTTGGTGGAGGTGCTGTTCTAAAAGATGGATACTTGAAAAGATGAAGACAAGTGCTCCTCACATTAGAAAAGCACCAAAATCTCAAATGGCACTCGTGAAGATGGTTGTTTTAGCTCAATATCAGACCTAACAAACTTTATTCCTGGACCTCAATTTGAGTTAATGGGAGAGGAATCAACATACCATGAAAAACGGAAGCTTAAGCTACACGCCTCATGCAAAACCCTAGTGAGGATTCCCTATGTTGAAATTAACTCCGTTGATGTGTGAAAAAATCTTAAATACAAGAGAGGTATCACATTATTTACAGTACAGAGATGTCGTAAACGGAATTACTTATAACTGAAGCATTTGTCAAACCACATATTGATCAATCTATGGAGTGCTTTAGTGAAGGCTTTCTCAAATGACAAGACTTAGGTGCAGTTAAGCTCCATTGATAGATTGATTCAACCTTTTTGTGATGATGTGACTTCTTATTTGCCAAGGTGGAAGTCAGCTTTGGTGTTAGGAGTCAAACAAGTAGTGCGAAGTTGTTTTGGATAAACCCATATGCATATTGTGTTTGGACTATCACACTTCTCATGCTCAGTTTTCTCTTTTCTCTCTCTTTACCTTGACAGTTCATGACCCCAAAAGAATCTTCTAGATTGCTATTCATCTTACGGTTATGGAGAAATCGAAGACAGGTGGAGGCTAATCAAGGAATGGTGCATGTGTATTTAACATCGATTGATGAAAAAGAAAGGCAGGTCTCATATTGGAGAAAACCTAGGGTTTTCGAATTGAGTGTGTTCTTTCCCTTTTGTAAAGTTTTCTTCTCTGATTTGTTCATGATTCTATACATTTTGGTTATTAATGAGAATACTCTACTGTGAGCCTTGGAAAGTCGATGTAGGCTGCAAAGCTGAACCACTATAATTGTTGTATCTTGTGTTTTTGCTGATTCTCTTTATTTGTTCCTAGTTTCATTGATTGATTCTCTGCATTGATAGCTATATTTGTTCAATTAGAGTTAGTCGGTTCAATAAGAGTTAGTCGGTAAATCCTAGAATTCGAAAACTTTATTTTTTTTCAGGTTTATTTCGCTAGTTCATCTTTGATAAATTAATAGGTAAAAAATCCTTCAAAACGGTACTTATTGATCTGAGTCATGAAAGCAACTCATCCAAATCACTGTTTCAAGTGCTTTTTGAAGCTTCTTAATGCGTGTCAATGGTTAAACCCATGGTGTTAAGGATGGTATGCTAATCAATAACGCAATAATCTAAGTGAAGCATTTAAAACAGAATTAAAGGCCACTCGGGGAATAAATTATCAATATTTTCATCAATTGAGTTAAAACATAGTCCATAAACAAATTTAAATGCTTTAGTTGCCTTGTTTAGCATTTTGTTAGTAGTCTTAGGGGGTATTTGTCTGAGCTTATCAAAATTAGCTTATAAGCAATAACTGCTTATAAGCTAATTTTAGCTTATAAGTATTTGAAATTTTAAACAATTATGTGTTTGGTTAAAGTACTTATAAGTGACTGATAAGTAGTTGACGTGTTTTGGTAAAATGTGGGTTATAAGTACATTTTATTATAAAATGACTAAAAAGGGTATTACATTAAACAAGGGTATACTATGAAATTTTAAAATTAAACAAGGATAATGTGATAATATACTTTGTCTAACTAGCTTATAAGCAGAATGCTTATAATAATAATAAAAAAAAAAAAAAAAAAAATACCNCCCCCCCCCCCAAAAAAAGCTAAAATCTAAGTTAATACTTCTAGTTTTATTTATTCCAAATACCCACCCTTAAATTAACGTAGTTATAACTGTTGGGTTCTGACCGATGCTATTACCAAACTGCCCTCCACCCCATTCCAAACCACCACGACACCACCATAGCCAGCCAAACCACCACCACAACACATTCCAAACTATCCCATTCCAAATCTCACAGTCGACCAAACCCACCCCATCCCAAAACCAACACAGTCGGCCAAATCACTCAATTCCAAACCCAATAGCAAGAAAATGGGAGGAGGAGGCGTACTGGGGAAGAAATAGGAAGGAAAGAGGGAAAAAAACCAAAAAGGTGAAAAGACCAATTTGCCCTTTCACTGTTAAAATAAAGGAGATTGTTTTAATTTAAGGGTAGGTATTTGGAATAAATGAAACCAAGGTATTATCTTAGGATTTCGCTCAATCTTGGGTGGGAATATGTTGTTTAGTCCCGCGTCCTCTACTGCGTGCAACATGTTACAGTCAGCTGGGGTCCAAGGGAAGCGAAAGTCCGAAACTCTTTCGCTTTTAGAATCTTCTTTGGCTGGCACTAGCCATTCAGAACACGCGTTACTGCCTCCTCCTTTCCGAACGTATTCAATCAAATATACTTTCAATGTGCACCTCACGCTCCTCCGTTATTGGTTAATCTTCTAGACGGTCCAGATTCTATTAATTTAAAATTAACGGCGTCGATGATTCTTAAGTCAAAAGGTTGGTCCCGGCAACTTTTTAAGCTGACATGGCAAAAATTAATTGGACCAAAACAACTGTCAGAAAACAAATAAACGCCTCAGGGAAGTAAACAATCTGGAGCCGTCAAAATCATCGAAAGATCTGACGGTTTCCAAGTCTCCAGGGTTAGAACATTCTCGAAACCCTAACCTGAATGAACTCTATATAAGCGAACTCTTAACCCATTTCTCCGCCACTTGAAAACCCTAGTTTCTCTCTGTCGTTTCTCGTTACTTAGGTTTTTAGATTTTTTTACTTTTTTCAAATCTTCTTCGTCGACAAATCTAATCGCCGTAGACATGGCTGGTAAAGGAGAAGGTCCAGCGATCGGTATTGACCTGGGGACGACTTACTCGTGCGTCGGCGTGTGGCAACACGACCGTGTTGAAATCATCGCTAATGATCAAGGAAACAGAACAACGCCGTCTTATGTTGCGTTCACCGATACCGAACGTTTGATCGGTGATGCAGCTAAGAATCAAGTTGCGATGAACCCAGTGAATACCGTCTTTGGTAAGTAGTCAACTCTTCTTGGCGTTGTTTCCTTTTGGCTTTCTTGCATTGTTTTCTTTTGCTAAGTTTAGATCCAATGTTATGTAGTTTAGATCTGAAACGGTGATTTATAGATATTGATTGACTTTAGATACCGAGATTTAGAGTTGTACGGTACAATATCATATCAAAGTTACGAGTTACGTCTAGATCTGGTATTTTGAATCCTTCAAGCCAAGAAATAGTATCTTTGAGAGATGTACCAGCTTGAGAAACAACGAACTAGATTTGTATGCAATCTATTGGGTGCAAATTAAATGACAGTATTATAGGTGCGATTGCGTTGGTTTTGCCATATACATAGATAATGTGAAGGTTTTGTACTTTGTTGAGTTGCACGTATGCTTAAAGTTAGTATTATGCAATTAAGTTGTGAATATTTATCGAGGCTAAATTTGGTAACTTGAACCTGTGACTAAGGCTTCAAGTTGTGTAACTATATATATGTTTATTCTCAGTTTGTTAATGAGTTATGCTTGGTGCAAATTAAATGACAGTATTATAGGTGCGGTTGCGTTGGTTTTGCCCTATACATAGATAATGTGAAGGTTTGGTACTTTGTTGAGTTGCACGTATGCTTAAAGTTAATATTATGCAATTAAGTTGTGAATATTTATCGAGTCTAAATTTGGTAACTTGAACCTGTGACCAAGGCTTCAAGTTGTTTAACTATATATCTGTTTATTCTCAGTTTGTTAATGAGTTATGCTTGATTCACTTTATCACTGAGCTGGAATTGTTTGGGTTGATTATATAAGAAAAAATTTTATTGGTGATTCTTTTTCTTGCATGGTTGAATTAACATCTGATTGTTTTTCAGATGCAAAGAGGTTGATTGGTCGTAGATTCAGTGATGCGTCTGTTCAGAGTGATATGAAGTTGTGGCCATTCAAGGTTTTTGCTGGTCCTGGTGACAAGCCTATGATTATGGTCAATTATAAGGGTGAAGAGAAACAATTTGCTGCAGAAGAAATCTCTTCCATGGTCTTGATTAAGATGCGTGAGATTGCTGAGGCATATCTTGGTTCTACTATCAATAATGCTGTGGTCACTGTCCCTGCTTACTTTAATGATTCTCAGCGTCAAGCCACCAAGGATGCTGGTGTCATTGCTGGTCTCAATGTCATGCGTATCATCAACGAGCCCACAGCAGCAGCCATTGCCTATGGTCTTGACAAGAAGGCAACAAGTGTCGGCGAGAAGAATGTCCTAATCTTTGATCTTGGTGGTGGTACTTTTGATGTCTCTCTTCTGACCATTGAAGAGGGTATCTTTGAGGTGAAGGCCACAGCTGGTGATACTCATCTTGGTGGTGAAGATTTTGACAACAGAATGGTGAATCACTTTGTTCAAGAGTTCAAGAGAAAGAACAAGAAAGACATTAGTGGCAACCCCAGAGCTCTTAGGAGGTTGAGAACTTCATGTGAGAGAGCTAAGAGGACTCTTTCATCCACTGCCCAGACCACCATTGAAATTGACTCTCTTTATGAAGGTATTGATTTCTACTCCACCATCACCCGTGCTAGATTTGAGGAACTTAACATGGATCTGTTCAGAAAGTGTATGGAGCCAGTTGAGAAGTGTTTGAGGGATGCCAAGATGGACAAGAGCACGGTCCATGATGTTGTCCTTGTTGGTGGTTCTACCAGAATTCCAAAGGTTCAACAGCTTTTGCAAGACTTCTTTAATGGAAAGGAGCTCTGTAAGAGCATTAATCCTGATGAGGCTGTTGCCTATGGTGCTGCAGTACAAGCTGCTATATTGAGTGGTGAGGGTAATGAGAAGGTGCAGGATCTGTTGCTCTTGGATGTCACTCCTCTCTCCCTTGGTTTGGAAACTGCTGGTGGTGTCATGACTGTTTTGATTCCTAGGAACACAACCATCCCCACCAAGAAGGAACAGGTCTTCTCTACTTACTCGGATAACCAACCTGGTGTGTTGATCCAAGTCTATGAAGGTGAGAGAACAAGGACCAGGGATAACAACTTGCTGGGTAAATTTGAGCTGTCTGGTATCCCACCTGCTCCAAGGGGTGTTCCCCAGATTACAGTGTGCTTTGACATTGATGCTAATGGTATCTTGAATGTATCCGCTGAGGATAAAACCACTGGTCAAAAGAACAAGATTACCATTACCAATGACAAGGGAAGACTCTCAAAGGAGGAGATTGAAAAGATGGTTCAGGAGGCAGAGAAGTACAAGTCAGAGGATGAGGAGCACAAGAAGAAGGTAGAAGCCAAGAATGCATTGGAAAACTATTCCTACAACATGAGAAACACAGTGAAAGATGAGAAGATTGGTGCCAAGCTTCAGCCAGCTGATAAAAAGAAGATTGAAGATGCAATTGATCAAGCCATCCAATGGTTGGACGCTAACCAGCTTGCTGAGGCTGACGAGTTTGAAGACAAGATGAAGGAATTGGAGAGCATCTGCAACCCCATCATTGCCAAGATGTACCAGGGTGCTGGCGGTGACATGGGTGGTGGCATGGATGAGGATGTTCCTGCTGGTGGTAGCAGTGCTGGACCCAAGATTGAGGAAGTGGACTAAGTTTTTTCAATTCGTTTTTGTTTGTTGGATTTAGCAATTTAGGTGTTTGAACTGATATTTCATGTTTTAGTGGGGTTTTGAATGTTCTAAACCCAGCAAAATGTTGTACGTTTCTTCCGGATTCTCAAGTTTTTATTGCAGCTCCCTGCCTTTTTTAAATTTGAAATATTAAAACTCTTTACTAGTTTCCCAGGTTGTTAACCTTCTGTAGATTGCTTGACAGCTTGAGAATGATTTTAATTCTTAACCGTTGTATGTCAATGTTCCTCGAAAGAATAGGCTAAACAGAAAAAATAAGCTTACGTACATACAGCGCTGAAACCCAGCTGCTTGTTTTGCAATTCCAGCTGGGCATCTCAGTTGCAGGTTATCAACGAAGGGATGACACTAATGTGATGGGTGGGTTAACTCTCGCTCTATTCTAACGTAAAAAAAATTTCCAACCTCCTCTCATTCGATGATATATTGAGACTTTGAGGGGTCTAATATTTTAAATTGGGTTGGGTGGGTTTTTTTAGAGAAATGGGTTATCCTTTTTTATTAATTTTTTTTTTGCTTGTGCATTTGTTAACAGTAACAGAATAAAAAAAAAAAAATCAATAAAAAGTTTTATTCAGATAACTTATATTAAATTAATTTATATGTTTTAACTAATTATTTTTGAAAATTTATATAAACTAATGGATAGATGGGTATTGGGGTTACTCCAAATCCAAACCCATTGAATTTATAACCCAGATCAACCCAATTGAGTTGAAGTAGAAAGGTACTCTATCGAGTCCTTTTTTCGATCCAAACAATAATGGGTATTTAAGGCTAAAACAAATATAATACATCCATCCTAGATTTTAGAGAAAGATTCATCTATCTTCAAAACTAATTTTGAAAATGCTAGACCAATACAGTTTTAAATTTGTAGAATAGAATGCGCAAATCATAAAATCTCGAGAATAAATTTCTCATTATTATTTATACCCAGTCCAAATCAAAAGCTTATATTTGTCAAAATAGGTCCCCAATGAAACGCCAAAACCCAAAACCCAAAGGCAATGAAAATAAGGATATGAAAGGAAAAGTGCTGGATATACATGGCGTGCTTCATGACTTTAATGCGCTGGAGGATTGAAACCCCGCATTACTCCAGCGCCCAACCTTTTCTTTCAACTATTTCTGCTTATCACAATGCCGGCACGCAATCTTATAATAATAAAAATAATAAAATAATAAAAAAGATAATTAGGAACACTTATATTTATATATCTCTTATTATAAAAGCAACTTATTCAACAACATATAAATTCTCATTTCTCTCCACGTGCCTCCATAAAAACAATTCGACGCCACCGCCAGTCTTGACTTTGACACACTACTCGACTCAGCTACCTGCACTCCCACTCACAACTTTGACTTGTTCTCAAAGATAATATCTTGCAGATTTGTAGAAATAATTTTGAATTTTCTGAGGTGTCAGAATGTAATTGGGTTATAATGATATAGATGAGTGATTTGGACATAAACTGAATGTAAAAAGAGCTACTAGTTGCCTCGGGAATATTCTTTCTTCAAATCTACAGTAAAGTCCAAGTAAACGTTGTCCCACCCCACTGTGAATGAAGATGATAATTGATAATGGATTAAAGAAAATGAATTATACACCATAAAATCAAAGCAAAGTTCAAACCCATCCAGGCAAGGATAAGATTTTGCGTGAGCCTGCCGCTGCCTACCATCCATAAATGTTTTCCAGGAATGCAAGAAACAAATAGATGACTATAACTGATACAACTTCAAAAATCAATTGTAATTACAGTCAACGGGCTAAACAAAAACACTGGAATAAGAACCATAGCGATTAGTGAACAAAAAATTGAATAAGAGATTAAAGTAAAGACGCACATTTTTGTTTCATAGATTACACTGTATGTTACAAAAGTCAGTAAATCAATGAAGCACCAACTATTGCAACCACCCTTACAATTCTCAACCCTATATTTTCAGGTCAACATAAGATCATTTCCTCCAAGGTGAGGACGTAAGCAAACACGAACCTCGTGTTCTTCTGGGCCTACCCGGAGCTTTGGAACCATAATCTCAAGCAGAGATCCCGGTCCATCGTAGTAGGCTTCAATGTTTGCATCTTCAGGGATTCGAGTTGAAAGTGGGATCTCTCTGATGAACTCACCGGGAGGGCAATGCTCAGATGCAGGATCTGTAAGCTTGAAAGTCCTATCATGTCTTTTGATAAATGGCATACGTGATGTGCTCACACAAGACACCTTTATAATCCCACGAGTCAAAGTATTCCTCCAGGAAACCTTCACCCTCTGAAGATCCACAAATGGCAAGCTGATAATAATTAAATAACCTTTTTCATCTTCGTAAATTGTTTTGGCAGCAGTAACAGGGCCATAAACATTTTTCAACACCCCACTGAAGTCATTCAACCACTGTGGCTCATTAGGGTGAATTTCCATCTCAGAAACACGATCAGCAGGTGGATTAACGGCCAAATAACAATCATCATCATTCCCATGCGGGAAAAAGTCCTTCCTCCTTTTGCTGCTGACGGGTGATAGGTCCATCCCATCACCATTGCTATGGCTGGATGGCTGAGTTGACAAATTGAGCCCAGAACCATTTAGCAGCTTCTTTGAGTGGGAGTTTGAGGCACTCTTTATGGGAGGAGGCCTCTCAAGCTCAAAATCTGTGTTCGGGAGATTTCTCCACGAGCCAAAATCACTAGCTTCAGGTGGAATCGTAAAATTCAGATCCCTTCCTGTGAGTTCCATCCACCTCTTTCGCTCCTCCTCATCGAGACCCATAAGATTGGGTGATGAAACAACCTCAATTCCATGCACACACTGAGGGTTTGACAGTCCCCTATAATGCTTCCGTTGCATCCTGTGCGATCGAACAAATCCCTTATCCACACTAAACGGAAACGGGCGCTCACCTTGGCGAGAATGTCCATTCATGTAACTCCTCAGTTGCATCTTGCCCAATGCATTCTCAGGTCTCTCCTTAAAAACCCACATGTACATGTTCTCCATGTCATGTTGAACCATAAAAACATCAAGCTTGAGATCAGATTTATCAAACCCCGAAACACCATTGCTGTCCCTCGTAATCTTGGCCTTTGATTTCTCATTCAACGCAGGCTTAAAATAGAAACTGAAGAAAAACCAAGCACCCCAAATACTATCAACTCGCTTGGCACATTTTCGTCCAACCTTGGGGATATTAAGGTAAGTTTCAGGCTCATAAACTTGAGAACTGAGACCCACATCTAAAATATCACACGTCTCTGAATTCCACGGCTGTGGAGGCGGGCTACGCTCAGCTGACAGTGGTAAATTGATATCTGGTGGACGGGGAAGAATGATTTGGCGATTCATCTCCAAATCCAAATCGTCGTGAGAGGAGGCGCTGGAATCCATTGATAAGAGGGTAGATGGGTGATGATTCTCCATTGACAAGGCTGTAAGAAGAGAATCTCCCATACTTCAGCTTGTTTCCTCCGTGGGTATCGTTGTTGCTGGTAGTTTGAATGATATTTCCATAATTTTCCAAGAAAAAATTCAAGAAAACAACCTTGTAAACACCTTGATCATAATCATTTATCTATCAATCTCCACAATAACTCCCTTCCATCAAAACCCTAGATTATTCCTCAATCAAATAACATTCCCCACACACCCACAACACAAAATCAAAATACAATAAATAATATATCTTACAACTAGAAGAAAAAAAAAAAAAAATAAAGATAAGATCTTTAAAAGGAAAGGGGAAAAAAAAAAACTAATAATAAATATATAAAAGGAAACAACTTATACAAACAAATACCCAACAAAAAAGAATAAAAAATTAAAAAAAAATCTCTTCAATCTCTACCAAATGAGAGAGAGAAAGAGATTTAAACAAGACGCTATAGAAAAACTATATCTAAACCCAACCCCAAAATCTCTCGAAATCCTCCAAACACAGGTGGAAAACACTGAATCAAAAACATCAAGTCCATCAAAAACTTGGAATTTTTTTTGTTTGTTTTTTCAATTTTTACCAAAGCAGCTGAAAAATAAAAAAGGAAAGTAAAATTATGAACAAAATCGAAAAACTTCAGAGATGTGAAAGAATCTTCAAAGAGTACCTTTTGGGATACGCATCGAGGAATCGAGACGAAGAGTAACCTCCATAGACGATCATAATGCTCATCTTCACTGTATCATCAACAACCATAATGTTTCTGTTCCGTCAAAAGAAACAGAGAAAATTGAAGAAAGAAAATAGTGAGTGAATGGTAGAAAGGAACAAAGACGTAAGGCACCGTCTCATTATAGGGAAATTTTGGAAGAAAAAAACCTACACTAGATAAGACCGACTCTGCCGTTACTTGACGGTGACGGTGCACCTTTTGTGAGTCATTTTCGTAAGTTCTGCTTTTGAGGTCAATACTCAACCGAGGCGACGCCACCTTGTTTCGTAATTTTTTATTAAAGCATGTTATGAGTTTTGACTTTTGATATAATAACAATATCTTCTTTTTTTAAATAAGGTATTCAACTCAGTTTATATGTATGTGTCTCAATTAATCACGTAAATAATTAGTATAAAAATCTTTAAAAGTTTATGTTGATGTTTAATCTTGACACCAATAATTTATATATATACAAAATATTAAAAGAGCCTTAAAAATTACATGTGATGGATTCGTGAAATTTGAATATAGTGTTGAGATTATATATGTTTGCAGAAAACATAAATAATAAATAGATAAAAGAAGTTTTTATAGTAATTCGGATGCTTAAAGCAAATCCTACATCCACTGTTATTTTATTATTCTCTGACTATTTATATGATATTGCTTATAAGACATACAAAGATGAATAAATACGTTGCTTATAGAGAGAAATAATGAAGCTCAAATGTCTGTCTAACTCTCATTTGCCCAACCTTCTCTTTTCGTAAAAAGAGGTGTCAATTTATACACCTTTGAGATCAATGTAGTTAGTGTTTTTGCAAGTTATCTTGACACATGAAAAGTTATCATTCGCCCTTATCTTAAAATAAAATAGGATTGACATAAAATATCTCTGAGGCTGTATGAGTTTGACAGTTAGTACACTTTGTCTTTTAGGTATTTGTTGAACTAACATCAACGTGACTTTATAAGCACAATAATTTATAAAATAATAAAATCATTAATAAACTGTTAATAAATTGTTAAATTTTACTTCATCGTAAATGTATAAATATTACAGATTGCTCTTATATTGTTTATTTTAACATCCAAAACTTATCCTAAGAGAATTTTTATTATTTCGAGAAAAAACTTTTATTATTTTATTATACTTCAGGGTATTAATTTAACCAAATTTTCTACAAATTTTAAAATGTCATTCCAAATTAATATTTTGTTGTTAATAACATTTTTTTAAGTTGGTTTAACTATAAGTATAGTTAAGTTTGAATTTTATTTTATATTATATAACTCGTAGTCAAATGAGTGATTATTAAATAAATTATATGGATAATATCAAAATGGCTGGATAAGTGCTTTATATAAGCCGGGTTCCCTACATCGATAACTAGACAACATTATATTACCAAGACCTAAAAAACATAACCTATGAACCAAAATGGCATATTCAATGAAAGGAAAAAAAAATCTATTTTTATCTAAAAGGTATTAGTTCAAACTTGTCTTAACTGAAAAGGAAAAACTATTTATGCTATGATATATCGAAGACTTTCTAATTTAAACATTATATATATATATATATAATAATAATAATAATAATAAAACCCCTTTATAGTCATAATAGTAGGACCAACTAAATTTATTACTAAGAGGTTATAATTTAATAGAGATTGAGCTGTAAGAATTATTGTTTTAATTAAAAAAATTATTATTTGTGATTAGATTCAATAACTTTATTACATTAATCAAATGGATATTAATGTCTCAAAGTTAATAAATAATTTATTTCATCTTAAACCTTTAATATAATATAACATATTTTTTTTACAATATATATATAATTATTATTACGTAGAGGCAAGTTCTTTAAGACACCGACCTAGAAAAATTATAACTTATTACAATATTAAATTTATTCTTATTTATAACTAGCCCAAATTAAGATCAGGATTTTTTATGACTACATAAAGGTTATTCTTCTATAGAGTATTATTATGGAGAGGTTCTACCATAAATAAAATTAAAATTTTCAATTATATTAAATCTTCTATATGCCTTTTTTATTTATTTTTCCAACAATTTCTAAGAATAAACATTTAATCAATTTTTTTTGTTTCTTAATAGTTCAATTTAGTATAAGTTTAAGAAGATATTATAGACTATAGAGTGTAAACAGAAAATGATGATTGGAGGAGGCTCGGTGCCTAAAGAAGAAAGTGAAATCCACCGATCCACTTATGTGTTGTGGTGGGTGTGGCTGTCAATTAATTCCGCCGTTATAGGAATGGACCTCACCAAACACTGCCTAAACTGACTTCCTGCAAAGTGGGATTGCTTTGATTTTTTAACTTTTATTCGTGTTTTAATTAAACCCTTAAGTAAGAAACTTTGGTTAATTATTATTTAAAAAATTAGATAATGGATGCTCTTTATCTGCGAAACGTAGATATGATTAACTTTATCACTTAAACATAAAATTAATATATAACTATAATAATAAAATATAATTAATTACATATATAGCCAACACAATAATCACATTTTTTTTTTCAAAATATACAATTTTTACTTAAATGACAAATCTAGTCGTAAATCTAATGACTTACAAATTATATCTTTCATAAAACAACAAATGATATATTCTTAATATATAACGCTAAACTATCAAGTATAATATCTAACTGTATGGTTTAATAGTCTAATTAAAGTATGTTAGATGGTGCTAGACTTAACAGTATTTTGGGTATTTTTGTCTTTATTATTTTTATTAAGGACAATTATGTTAAATCGTGTGATTTTATAGTTAATGTTCTTTAAACAAAACCTTAATATTTTGAAAATTAAGATTAGTAGATATGACTATATGAGAATGTTATGCAAATTACTATATGAATCAATACACTTGAATACGATAATTTTGGAAATATCAATGAATTTTCTTATATGGTAGGTTTGTACTTCCAATAATATTTTGCCAACAAATGAGTCATACATCCAGACAAAAATTACACAAAATTTATGTAAAATAATTATTTTTTCATTTGTTTTTTGTCTGATTGTATGACTCGGTTGTAAGCATAACATTGCTCTTATATTTCATAGCAAGAATTAATAATAAACCACCACTAGGTGGTTTGATGGTGAAAAAACAAAAGGGGTTCCATGAGTCCCTGAATTCGAGTCACCTTTAAGCACTAATAGGGATGGTCATTAAGTCTCTTACCCGGTCGATAGTTTCAGGGCCTCGGAAAATTAGTTGAGGTGCGCGTAAGCTGCTCAGGACACTCCGGTGATTAAAAAAAAGTACTAATGATAACTTTTGAAATAATTTTTTGGAATAATTTCATATTTTAGTGCAAATTTAATATGATTTCACAATTATGAAAATGCATTGTATTATAATTATAAAATATTGTAGAATAAATCAACTACATTTATTTGACAATAAGGTTATA